CTTCTGCATAAGACTGTACAACGCATCCACCTTGCGTCTGGGCAGAGGCAACATTGACAGTGACCTGTTTCTGGACTGAACGCATCTACACATCTACAGTACTGCTACATCTGTTCTCTTTCTTTTTCCTTTTCTTTTTCCCGTTTACAAACATTTTTTGTGCAATATATGCCAGGGACCTGTGCAATACATTTATATCTATATTTACATCCATATCTATATTTACATCTATATTTATATCCATATGTGTGATAAGATTTTTCTGTGTACTGTTCTGTTCTAGTTTGTTCTTTGTGTGTCCGGACTGTGAGTAACTCTTGTATTGTATTGTATGTATTGTACTATTATTATATAATTCGTTACACTGTGGCGGTGTTGTGTGTGTTAAGCTTCTGTTGCACTGCAATTTCCCTCACGGGATCAATCAAGTATCTATCTATCTTTATGCTTTTACAAAACAACTTAGTCAATCTGACCAGCTTCTAGGTCTGTCACACAGAGTTTGACAGGAATCTGGCAGATGTTGGAAGAACTGAGCCCACCCTATCTTGCTCACTTCATCTGTAAACATCCAGACAATAAGATGCTGTCTGGTGGTGGCCTATCTGTAGCCAATATCAGTTGCTTGGTCCTTAGGCCTTGCGTCCTACTAGACCAAATTTTGAGTGTCTCTTGTCGTGCAGTTGTCAAAATAGCAAGTTCCGGACAGTCTCTGAAGACCTCCTGGTAGTTTGGAAGATATTCTTCAATCCCCATAACTGATATCTCCTGTCTGTTTATTCTGGGCACTTCTGCCAGTGATACAGGTCTTGTATACAGTATGTCCTATTTCATCTGTGGTCTGTTATGGACTAGGTGGTGACAAACTAAGGCAATGTAGACACCCTCTGTGGTAATATAAAGAGCACCTGACTAAGGTGTTGGTGTTGATGAATCACTTTAAACCATAACAGGTTTTCATCTTCTCACTTCTCATCCAACAATTCTTCATTTCAATGATGGAAGCTGTAACAGGCTATATGAACTGAATGATGAACCTCATCACAAACCTTTTCATGATTCTATGAGTTTGGGGGGATCCGAGGCATAGCTACCATGTTGACAGGAACAGATCTTTTATTAACTAAAAGTACTATAGGTTTGGCTCTGTCTGCTTGATTCCTTACTTTGCTCATTTATTGGCATTAATTTCACACATAAGAGGCTTTAAATGTTGCTCTTTACCTTGGTTTATTGATATGAACAGTTCTATTGCTGGGTACAAAGGTTTTTTTTTTATTTAAGTTGTAAAGAATCTCTGTTTCTACACATACATTACCACTATATACTGTATGAGTGTGTACTGCAATAAATTTGTGTATTAAAACCTGGAATTCTTCAAACATCACAGACTGGAAATATATCACAAGACTTACTGAGTAGAGAATTCAGATGGCTGTTATAGCATTATACATCAGCTAAAATAAAAATTATATTATTGAAATATGATGGGTACTACTTTATTTTTATTTTAGCCTTTGGTAACTAAATTAAACAAGTAAAAAAATAGTTTGACCCTCTAGACACCAGCACAACTAAAGCAATTTGACCTTTTGTCCTGGAATTCAGAGAACTTGGAGGACACCAGAGTTTCACAAAAGTCAGTTGCGTACATTGTATTCGTTTATCTTGCGTTCTGTTTATCTGTGAGATTAATTATGAGCAGATGACGTGCATTAGCATCATGACTTTATGTGTTACACTTTTCATCAAGTGAATACCGGTAAGTAGAGTAATTGGTATTTATTAACAGCACTATTGCCACAGCGATAGTTTTAAATTGCATGGAGAACAATAAAAGAAGCTCAGAACTACCCAGTATTTGTGAAAATCCTGTAGAAACGGCAACGTTTTTCTACAGCAAAGTAACATTTTTTGGAGATTTGCTGTATTTTTTTTATGGGACAGAAAGATTAAATAACAATAATCTAGCAATAAATATTATTGCAAAACCTCTACATTAACTGCGTTTTTGTAACTATTTTCTCTTTTGATTGTTTAATTTAAAAGCAATATGCAAACAGCTACGTCTCGTTGAAGCGAGACGTCGATTTTTAAATACAGTATATTGCACAATCGTAAACACGTTGTGCTCTTTCGATGCTTAAATTTTCTTGTCGAGTATGCTACTCCAGCTGCTACTACCTATTATAATACTCGTAAGACTTTTTCTCTGTATTAGTTTTGTACCATATATGTTGATTAAATATTGAATCCTGGTCAAATTTATATCATTATATAATTATTTATATCATTATTGGTACTCTAGGGACAGCTTTTTCTGTATTAGTATTGTTCGCGGAGGTGATCTGAACAACAAGCTTTTGCCGTACTGTATTAATTTAATTTGTTCCATCCACAGAGTTGGGTGACAAAATACTTCTCATAATCAATGTAAACCGTTCAGGGGATTCACAGACTGTGGCCTTAATCATGGACTGCAATGTGTAATTTTAGATAAACAAATCTTGGACTATTGCTGATCCTGGCGTATGAAATCAATTCTGTACGTCTCACTTTAATCATTAAATATATTACAATGTTAACATAATTTTATAGTTACAGTACATCCTAATAAATTGTTTTGATGAAAATATGTTCAAAATGTTATCTCAAATACAAGATGTTGAATCTGTGGTTAAGGTATTAAAATACCTATTTTTATTTGAAATCTGGTAAAGATTATAAATCGAGTTAATTCGTAAAGTTAACTTATACAGTACGTTCATACTAAAACTAATAAGTACAATAAAATCCGGAGTCTTATGGTCAATATTATTCTGCGAGAAAGAGAAATACCGACCTGTTTCTATTTTAAAGCGGGTTTACTTCTATAGAACATATTGTAACATTTATTGATTTTACCAAATATTTAAAAGCCATCTTGTCTGAATACATATTTTATTCTTTAGTATTTTTTATTGTAAAACGTAGCCTTAAATTAGAATTATTTAAAACACGTTATTTACGATTTTGCAAGAGGCACTTTATATCTTCATAAAATGTCATATTTGCACGATCAAAATATGGGATTTTAACAACCTGCCTTTTATACATAACGAGGTAAATCTTCAGAAGGTTGTGAATATGTAACCGATCTATCACGCCTCTACCTGATAGAATACAGGCATACTGGCATGTTTTAAAAACTGAGAATTACCAGATTCATGTCATGAATCGCATTATCGCATACTAATTAATTACGACAGATGTAACAAAAATGCCAATAAATACATTTAAAAAAAATGAGTTTTAAGGGAAGCATTGAAGCTTACTATCCACGTTCAATTCAATCGCCAGTAAAAACTATGCATTGCTAGAATGCATTGACGCTTGTAAGGTTCGTACACTCCTATAGTCTAAATCCGACAATGCCTTCGTGTCAGCACCCATTTGCTTCATAGACCCCCAAAGATTGTAATCAAGGCGTGTTTATAAACGTCCATTACAAAATGCCAATAACTAATGATGTTTGTTCATAATTGCATTTTCTCCGAAAAGTAAACAATCGTTTTCAATGCAAATACGTTCAATGCCCTAGGTAACGACGTACAGTACTAAAGTATATGTCAATAGTCACATCGTCGTCATGTATGTGGCTATTTATGCCAGTTGAGAAATGCAAACATGTGCATAAGTCTAATAAAAAGGAAAATACATCTCAACACTTGTACAGTATTTCCTTTTCCTTTGCCTTATGAGCTTTATTTTATAATAAATTAAAATAAATTAAGAAATTAATTATTGTAGGCCATAATTTCTTTTCAAATAGTGTCACCAGTTTTCCCCTCTTGTTATACTCGGGTTTTCTTTTTTTTTAGTTAGTTTACTTGATTATTTTGTTTTAAAATATTTACGTTTCTACAGTTAAACTGCTTAAAATGTCCATACGCATTAATCATTTTGCATCCACACTTCGCGATTAAAGGGGCGGTTTGTGGTTTTGAAGTAGCGTGTATTATTCAATGATGTAAAACACCTGAACAGTGCAGTGAATTTATGGTTCACATTTTTCAAAAAGTAATTTTTAGAAAAATTAACAGCTAACCACAAATTCTACTCAATACATGCATCAGTCACAGCGTGAACACGCACTTCAGAAAAACATTCATTCAAATAGACTAGATACAGTAGACAGATAGTTACACTATCAAGACATTTTTGTGACGCATTCTTTTTAAAATGCAATAAGTACGAAATACAATATTCATTTATAGCGTTTACACGGTTTACACGTTTCCGTATGTAACTCGCAGCTCTATGCCAGAATGCAGAGTACACGCAGTTTTTAATAGCAAACCTGGAATGATAACCCGAAGAAAATAAAAGCAGGGAAAACATACTGCTGGAATTCCTTCTGAGGTGTTTAGTTATTAATTTCTCCGTAGTATCACATGCGTGACTTTAACTATCACTTCATATTATTAGAAAAACTTGCCTTTACTAAATTAAAGCAAAATCTTATGTAAAACATGTTCTTTAGCAAATCCAAATGTCGTTGTATAAATTTATGTTTTCTTTAATACATTTGTCTACTGGAGTACAGAACAATGACTTTTTTTTCTGAAAATGATCATGAAAATTGTATTTTGGGGCATCTCTGATATAATTTCATTGTCATTGAGGATGATAAGAAAATACCCACTGTAAAACGGAATTGTATTTAAAGTAACATTCCTTAACTTTCTAAGCATTTATTCTCGTTAAGCATAAACAAGTCGAGGCAATGAGATTACATCGTAAAAATCGTCTACAGCAAGATCGGAGACGTATAAATTAGTAGTCTTCTACATTGCTTTGAGAAGCACACCTTTAGTTTCAGGATTCAAACAGCTGCCTTTATAACAAGTAGCGTGTTCTGACCGAGTGTTTTTGCAAAGCTAGAAGGAAATCTTACCCTGAGATTGGTTGACTTTAAGCTCCTCTAGTCGAACGTCAATACGCTTGACGTGGTAGTTTAATGTCTTCTGCCCAGCTTGCTACACGCCTCCTGTTTGTTACACAGAGAGGGTTCCAAGACTGGAAGCAAGAACAGAAAGCGCTTTGGGGAAGGGAATCGATTTTTTAAAGAGGCTGAACATTTTTTTTCACTCCGTTTTCAGGGAATTACAGGTCTATCGACTCCAATGAATCATCACTTAAATCTGTTAAATAGTAGTCCGTAAATTCAGCAGTCGTCAGCCATGAGCTGTTTGGATGTTATGTATCAAGTGTATGGTCATCCACAGCCGTATTTCGCTGCAGCCTATAGTCCCTATCATCATCAGGTACGTTGCTGCCGTACTTTAATGTCATGGAATAAATTGGGTGTTTTTATTGATTCTGTAAGTTACAACCAAACATTTGCCAATATATTGTTTTTATTTTTCATTAATTATCCTTCATGATTTATGGTTCAAGTTAAATATTAATTGATGAGATTGTAAATTGTAGCCTCCTATTGGCCCGGACCATTAAACCAACGTGATCACAGCAGAAGAGCAGGATGTACTCAAGTCTATTGTACAGTATATCTAGAATTCATAGTAAAGCTATAGTTTGGAAGTCTGGAAACTGTATGACCGCTATACGTTTGTCACATAAAAAGCCAAAATTGCTTTTTTAAGGCGTAAATGTAATTTGACTACATTTACGACATTTATTAATAACTAATAATTGTACAGTTTTAATTTAAAAGCCTAATGACCAAAGGTTTATGTCTACGTTAATTCGGTATAAGGACTGAGCTTCTGTACCGCAATGATGTGTTCGAAGATGCTGGATGAAACTGAAATTTGAATATAACACATAAGCTTGATATAGCTTGTAGTTGCCCACCTTTTTACGAAATGGTTTAACGAAATGGTATTGGCTCGACACTTGTTTTGTCATATTTTCGCAAGGTAGATTAAGTTTGGAACATGACTCGTTACCTTAAGAAAGATGTTCTGACTTTTATGCGTATTTTTAAAAACGTTGTAAGGAAATTTACCTTTTCTATTTTATATTGTTAGATACTGTGGCGTGTCTTTTAAATGTTGTATATGTTCTGGTTTGCGACGTACGTACAGCAACAGCGTATAACGTCGATGCAGTGATTGTAATGTCTCTTTAATGTGTGTAGGGATTCCATTGAACAAACCAGGCAACTTTACAGGTCTGTGACCCTCCAGCCGACCGCAGTTTCATAAATTGATTTCCTGTTTTCAGGCGTTATTCATGGATCTCAAACGGGCCTGTGCCCCCTCCAAAATAAACTAAACCAATTTAAGACCAATTTACACTTTAGTCTCCGATTTTAAATAGTTTTGTCCTCTTTATCCAGAATGTTTTACTATTCGTTTAGAAAAAAGAAACGCAGCTGTTCAAGAGTAGGTTTCAGATTAATATGCTATAAACTTCAGTTATAAATATGTACTAAAATGTTTAAGGCCCAAAATAAGATGAGAGTAAAGCCAATAATGGACCGATTTGTCTTTTCCATTACTGCACCCAAAATAATACATACTCTTACTGTAGGTTTTCACCTTACTGAGTTATGTTAGATGTGATTGCCCACTGGAACGTTTTGCCACTTTCCTTAAACCTCTCACAGTCAATATCCAAATGTGACTCTTACTTTGTACAACGAGAAGGTTTTCATATTTTAAATAGTGTGAAAGTCTTTTTTAACGAGGCAATGAATGAATCATGAATCCGTTATCCTCGGTACAATTTACTATGAGACGTTCTCGGTTTTTTATATACGAGAGCGAACAGATTAAAGCCAAGAAAAGCTTGAGAGTGGGTGTGGAGATGGGCACTGTTTATTTAGAGGCATGAGGAGTTGTTTCAGTTCGACAAGGTGTTATTTTTCGCGATTGTTCTTATGTCGTTAATGAAGTCTTCTAAGGGACTAATGATCTACAGATGGTAACAGAAAATACTTACATTTTATATTGCAGTTATTTTTATTTGACTAATGATTCGTAGCTATTCATATTCAGTTGGCGTCACCTCTGAATTGTAGCATAGTTTAGTTTATAACAGGATTGCATCATTTTAAAAACATTTTAGTTTACGGTCTTTTGCACATTTGAAGAATTATGTGCAAGATATTTCTTTAAACGGCTGTACAGCTTGAATGAGTTTCTTGCTGATACAGGTATCTGACAACGATGAGTGTTAAGAACCCGTTAATGGTAACATGATGACTGCACGAAAAGAATTTCATTAAACGATTACTTAGGTCACTGGCATGACAACTAATGCGTGATTTAGAAAGTGAAGCTTAATATCATTGCTCTAATATCCTCATTATGCAGCTATTAACAGTAATATTTGAAATACCGGGGAGATCGTTTACAGTAACACTTTTGTTTGGCAAAACAAATGGAAAACAAGAATGAAATAATAAATAATGGAAATATTTTTCAGTCAGAATGTTTGATCAAAGACCAGTTCTGCAAAGTCGTAATCATCACTGTTGTTGCTATTATTATTATTTTGTTTCAGAAGCTAGCATTTTTCTCTAAAATGCAAGAAGCGCAGGAAAGCGGCAGCAGCACTTTCTCCGGCCATTCTGGTCCAACTATTAAAGAAGAGGACTGCGCGCGCGACAAGGAGCGCGCTCCGGAGGCCGAGTACATCAACTCAAGATGCGTTCTCTTCACCTACGTTCAGGGGGACATCAGCGCCGTTGTCGATGAACATTTTAGTCGGGCTCTTAGCCAGCCCAGCAGTTACGTCCCCAGTAGTGCCAGTAACAAGACGTCAAGAAGCACATCTTCCTGGAGAGGTGGGCAGAATTACTTTTTACCACGGCATCGGTCTGCAGTAGTTGTGTCAGGTTTGATAGTATTTGATGTTGCTTATGAATTCCAAGACCATTTCTAATGAGGTGAAGAACTTGATTTACAGGCTCTAAGAAGGGATGCCTAGATGCACAATCTATGCTCAAAGGAAAATGTACGTTTCTTTTCATAAAATAATTTATGTGAAGAAAATATATGTCTCAATAGCTATTATTTAAAAATATAGATACAGCTCAATTCGTGGTCCTAGAGGGACGGTGAATACATTACTGTGTATTTGATGATTATTTAATTATTAATTGCTGTTAACGATTTCGTGACTCTTTGTTATAAAGTTTCATAGACTTTATAAACATGAAATGAGGCTTGCGATCCAGTAATACTTCTGGATTTTTAGGTTTTACGATTAATATCTCAAAAACATTTTAAAGTTATTCTGAGGTAATGAAGTATATTAAAATTACAGAACGAGTTAAAAGATACGACCCATATATTTGAAGGCTTTACGTTACATTCTCTGATGTGGCTGTTAAACTATGGCTTTCGCCCTTGCAAATTTGTTTCTCGTTTATATATGTAATTCCATCTTCTGGGAACCGAAAATGTCAAACATGTTTTATAAACTTCAAGTTTTGACGACTTGTTGTAAACACAATATAAATAGCTGAAAGTCTGTGCACACTATTTGCTCATTTAAATGATGTATGTCAAGCGTTTGATTACTTTGGTGTAAGAATTAAGACTTTTACTGCGCCCCATGTTTTTTTAATTATTTGAAAGTGTTGACCGATTTCTTACCTTTTAAAAACGATAACGGCGTATAGATTACACTGAAATCCGCAGGTTAGAAATGGATTTTGTATTCCATTGGTATTTTTTTCCCCACTTAATTCTGTTAAAATCCGCGAGGTACTACTTCTAAAGAACGCTAAACGGCATTTTCCTGTTGTTATATTGATTATCAAGCTTATTACTTTTAAAAGCAATGTAGCACTATTCCATCGAGTCCCCAGCATTTCTAGTTAAAGGCTGCCATTTGCCGAATCTTGTTCATTTTACAAAATACCGGCAAGTCCAGAATTCCAAGTGCAAGTTAGAAGCTGGCCGCCAGAGAATATTCTGGGTATCTTTCAAAACGCTCTTGCTTTTACAGGCCTCGGGAAACCTAGGAAAATGAACCTCTGTTCGACTTTGCTTTCAGCTGAGGTTGTTCTGGCCGTTGTGGACCAATTCCTTAGACTCCGTATTTTCATTTGGCAAGAGTGTGAGCTTACAAAATGTTCCTGACTGTTCGTTGCTAACCAGGTTTCCAGGGGCTTTTTGTTCACCGATAAGGAATATATGAACAGAGACATATTTTGTTTGAAAGGGACACCCGTGTTCTTCAGACACATAGTGGAGCAAGTACATGATTTGTAAATCATTTCAAATTAAAGAATGATGGTGTTATTGTCATGTTGTAGCTGATGAATAAAGACATTTAATAAGACCATTCAACTTTACTTTAACAAAATGCAAAATAACTGCAAGCAGGATATATACCAGGAAGCTCCAAAATGACCAGGCAGAGGCACAAAGGGAGACGTTTACAATAGAATTTAAACACAAGGCTTGATTTCCGTTAGTACTTGTTCTGTCTCCTCCATGAGCAGAGCGTAAGATATTTCCTAACCAGGCTCGAGCGCTTCTTCTTAGTCCACTCTTGCCACAGCTATGAGTTATGACCTTTCCTTCATGGCGACAGCAGGCACAATCCTGAATCAAATGCCACAAAGGATAGTGAGAAAACCCCTCAAGATAGGCCAAAATATCGCAGATCAATTGTATCTAAATTACTTAAAATTTCCTTAGAGGGACACTTCTCACATAATGCACAGATCTTCTAAATAATAAGACAGGTCACCCAGTGGCATGAGGTCTCTTACGGTGTCTCTTGCCCCTGCTTCCTACCTGGGAGCCTGTACTGTAGGTACCTCACTGGCTCTGGCATTGCCAGGTCCTAGGGCACAAGAATAGTCCTGAGCAATGGGTACAGAACAGGTGTGTTGCGCAACCCTTCCACATGATCAAAACACTCTTCAGTTCAATGGCCTGTCAGATTCGAAATGGAAATGCAGGTAAACAATAAAAAGTAGAGTATGTGCATCCATCAGTGGTCCTTGTTTATTCTGTTTCTGACCCGTTCTAAGTGTGACTTCTGTACATGCTGAGACAAGTGAAAACTAAATCTGGATAGCAGTCATTTAGTAAACGAGCAACAAGGGAACACACATACTAAAGCAGCTCTGTCTTTCCTTGTGTTTGCGTGGCTGTAGATGGATCATTCCCCATGAGCCAGAGGAGTTTCCCTCCGTCCTTTTGGAACAGCACCTACCAGCCTGCCGTCACCGCCTCTCTCAGCAGTGCACTGGGCGCCCCTCACGCCGAGATCCCCTTCCCAGCAGACCCCTACTCCGCTGCCTCTCTACACAGCCACTTGCACCAGGGCCCCGCTGAGCCCTGGCACCACGCTCATCACCACCATCACCCTTACTCCCTCAGCGGGGCCATCAGCACGCAGAGCTCCGCCTACCCGCGGCCCGCCATGCACGACGTCTACGGGACGCCCTTCGACCCGCGCTACAGCTCCCTCCTCGTGCCCTCCGTGCGGCCACACCGCCTCACGCCTGCCACCGTCCCCGCCCCCGGAGCCCCGCAGTGCGACCTCGGGAAGGGCGAGTCTGCCTCCTCGGCCTGGACGGGGGCGTTCACAGGGGCCGGGACAGACATGGGCCAGAGCCTCAGCCTCAACATGGACGCAGGTACATTGGAGCACACGTGTGGCTCAGCCAGCCCTGTGGAGCCGGGAGGCTGACAGATCCCTCATTCATTTATTCATTCAGACCTGGCCAGTTATTGTGAGAGCACACACAGTAAGAAACATAACACCCCTGCTCAAACAGCTCCATACTTGACGTCGGTGATAATCAGAGAGCTTTAGGTGATTATCAGACATTTTTTTAGCATATTGTTGTATTAGGCAACACATAAATGAAAAACCTTTGGTGGATTCACGGAATCCTTCATATAGTATTTAACGAAATATTAGATTATATTTTATATTATTCTGAAATCCATGGGATTATCCATCTTTTGTGCAGCGTGAACAGAAATACATTTTAAACAGAGATGCTTCTTTATAGTCATTAACATACTCACAAAGAATGCATAGACCTCCTAAACAATAAAGGACTCTATAAACACATTATGAAATGTGGGGCATTAAGTAACAATTGAAATATTTTAAACAAAAACAATACAATGATTAAATAACATGCCCTATCAAAGACTGCTGCTTGTTTTACATCAAAACATAATGGCTTTGACCGTGCAATGTCTTTTAATAATTAAATCATCCCATCATTCAATTTTTTTTAATTTAACATTAAATTTAAGGAAGAGTCTTCTAATGTTTTCAACTTTTTGCTCTCAAAACAATTTGAAGACGGGATCTAAAGCTTCTTAAAAATACACTGGATATGTTTTTTAAACTTTTGCTAACATTTCAGTTTGGAGGATTGTAAATGGCACCTTTTGTGTAAAAGAAGCAACCAATTAAGCATGTGTGAATAATCTGAATTTTGTGTATAAAAAGACAAATGATCACTGTAGGTGATTGGTTCATACTAGGGTTATCGATGCTCTATTCATATCTTCTGGGTTATTAGAATATACAATTGGAGTATTACTGAACAATTTCTTAGGTAAACATAGTGTAGTAAAATTTCAAACTGATCAGAAACAAATTTATCTGCACAGCACATTTGTCATCTCTGATCATGATCTGGAGAAAAGTTCAGCAGCTCTGTACCGTGTACAGTTTCTCTGTTAGGTTTGTGCGTTTGCTTTGCTCCTCTCTGGGCGACTCTGCTCTTTTGCTTCAGGGGTTCTTCGTTTAGAGTTCAACTGTTTGTCTTCCTTTCCCTAATCTTCTTTTTCTTGCGCTTTTTCTCTCATTTCCTCTCTCAGGTCTGCAGCCCCAGGAGAAAAGCAAGGACCTATACTGGTTTTAAAGCACTCCTGCACCTACCTCCCTTGGCTGTCCTCTGTATCTCTACCTTGTAGAAATTAAAAAGGCATTTTTTTCTGTAACAGATTCTAATCTTGGTTTCAGCTCGGCGTTACTCCTTTTGTGGCGGAGCCCTCCTGAGCTGATTTGCCAGCAGGAGAAACAAGAAAACAAACTGATCAGAAGAACTGATATTCTTCACCAGAGCAAAGGAGAAAAGGGAGCCTTCAACACTGATACCCCCCCCCAATACATCTTAAAAAGCAGAGCTATGGATGGCTAACTTCTCTTTCATCCATTTAAACGGAGAATTTCTGCTTTTCTTGGGGAAACATGAAGAAACAGTTTTTAGGTATAGCAAAACCGTGGCACATTTTGTTGTGAACTAAATTAATCGACTGGCACGGAGTTCTGTGAGGAGTTTTGCCACTACTGAGTAACTTAAAAAAAAACGCAACACGTGTGCTCAACACATTTTGTTTTGGATGGAATGGAAAGAAGATAAAATCATAAAATATAAGACATTATTGTGATATGAACTGGGCAGCGGCTATTTGAAGCCACCTGACTCAATGTTGCTCCACTGCAGCTGTCAGGAACAACTGTTCTAACTCAACAGACTTACAATTAAGGTGGCACTTCACTGAGTTTGACCAAACAAGTGCTTCAGACTTCTCACAAGGGGCATTTTGTGAAATCCAGACCCTCCCCCAATTGAAAATAAGACAGCCCTCACAGGGAACAACTGCAAAAAGCAACAGGAGCAAAGATCAGGAAAGAGCGATCGAGGACACATGATCCCTCTCACTACAAGCTCTTTCTGTGTGTTTAGCTGTCTTTTTGCCACTGAGACATTTGTAACTGTAAAAAAGAGTTGCATTAAAGATCTTTATTGAAAAGGTCTTTGGTCTTTGAGTCATTGCTGGTGTCATGGAAGTCAAGGTTTTAAATCTGAGCATATTAATATATTTCAGTTAAAGTATTTATTTTCCTAATGCAAATACAATGGAGATAAGTTCTTGGTCTTTTGAAGAAACACGTGGCAAATGCATTGCAGTGGAATTAAATATCATAGTGCAGCTCTTCTAAAGCGGCGTGCTCCTTTTTCCTTTTTGTTCTGAAAAATGTACGTCAGCATAAAAAGTAATTTTAAAGTTCAAAGTTTTAAACAGCACATGGAATGATTTTAGACTTTATGGCAGAAAATACTAAGTTATGCAAAAAATATAAACATTTTTGACACCAGAAAATTACTTTACAGTCCTTTTCAATTTAATAATACAGGTTAAAGCGATACACATGGCACAAGGCACTTTAATCAACAGTTCTGTAGGGTCTTTCACCATTCTGTGGAAAAGTACAGCTGTAGAGAAATGTCATTCTTCCTTCAGTCTTTGAAAGAAATTTCAGCAGTGCAGGAGTGTTTACATTTCAACTATTTACTAAGGACTGTTTTCAATATGCTGTCCATGTCCAAATACATTTTAACCTTACCATGATAAAGATATGGTGACTAAAATGTACAGATTTAAAATGAGAAAGTTATATGGCAATCACACACAGTTTACAGAGCTTTAACCAACAGGTATGAAAACAAATAAAACCTGATATGTGCATTTTCTTTTTTTCTAATTTTCGAGAAAAAATGTTGTTTTCCAAGCACAAATCGTATAACTGAAAACCCAAATTGGTAAAAAAATGTAGGTCAGGCTAGTAGAGGCATATTTCCACGCAGTTTTATAAATACTTTTTAACTCAGTTGTTTATTACATTGGGTTTATTTGTTCCAAACATTTATTCAAACTTTATTGAACTACACCGAATAGCCCATCCCTGAGCAACCTGTCTACCTTCCAGATGTACGATTCCTGACCAAGAAAAACTTCATACAATTATAATGCAGATTTGGTATAATGATTTTCCACTAAAGTTAAAAGAAGATCTGTTTTATTTACAGGAATGTTTAACAGATACCTAAAGCACGTCTAAATATGTCACAGATTCAGGATAATGTTTAAAAAACAAATTGACATTTATGATAGTTATAAATTGTGGGTTCACTGTGTTTTTCCATAGCTGAATTGTTATGACTGTGTAAAGAAAGCTACAAAGAAGTGAAGAACATTTAAAGTGCCATATGTCTTTTGTCTCCATGGTTTTGATTTAATTTGCTAATACGGGGCAGCTGTTAATTAATGTCAATTAAAGTCATGCTTAACTTGATGAATGACAAGAGTAGTAGTGGGTGAAAAGAACTGTTCCTGTATGGCCGAATTTCTGATTCAAAGAGAAAAAACTTGTGATGTTCGAGTCTGTTTCCCAGGGATCAGTGCATGCGTTATATGCGTTATGTACATTGACACAGCTCATTTTCTTATAATCAAGATTTGAATATAAAAATGTCATGCTTTCTATGGACCTAAAAGTTGTATTTTGTTAATGTCACTTTTTCAACTGTTTGTATGAGTGTTTTATCAATTCTGGTATTTACTGCAGGCACAAATGTTCATTCCACATTTTATACAATGTTTTATGATAGAACTTATCAAATGATTGAGCATTTTATGAAAACTGTAGTTATGTTCTTAGTTTTTTAATGGGGTAATTGTTTTCTTTCGTTTCTGGTTAGGTAGCCGTCTTTGTTTAATTAGTGTGTCAGATGAATTCATGAAGATGCTAGTACAAATCCAAAGAGACATTTCTGCCATTGCATAATTGGCACCGCATTGTCCGAAAAGTCTAATTTGCCTAAAAAATCAATCTACTCTTTCATAATGATGAAAAATCAAATGTCCAGTTAATTAAAAACTAGGAATACTCATAATCTGTGCTTTTTGGATATAAAGTGGAAACGTTGGCAATGCTGATCTTTTGGCCTGGTTGAAGTAAAAAGTGGTCCACTTTTACAGGATTTTAGCCAGTAGGTAATTTGGCGGTGCAGTAAGACTCTGACAGAGCTCTCTCTCTGTGCTTGGTAGAAGCTGATCTACAGCCCCAGAGCTGGATCATGGAAAGGACACTTGATAGCCGCTGTTTCCATGGCTGGAATATTTGTGAAGTTAACGCATAATCTGAAAGCAGAAGCTAATAAATTACAGGGTGCTAATTGGAGCTGGAGTGGAGCTGTCAATCACATTATCCTAAACACACAGGGACCCTTTTAACCTAAAAAGGAAAGGGACTCGAAGAGGAGCAACCAGTTGTCACCACGCGTGCCCTTCACTGCTGTTACAATTGAGCATTCAACCGGTGCAGACTGAACAGAATGATTAAAGCAAAAAAAACAACAACAAAACTTTAGAGCAGACATTTAATGAGCATGTGTGCAAATTACATTTGGGTTTTAACTCTGGCAAGGATTAAATCATTTGGTAAGATTTGTTTTTAAAGTGTCATAATCTTTCACGCAAGCACAGATGCATACACTCAGTCAAAAGGATTGACTTGAACAGACGATTCTATGCTTATTTTTATTCGGTAACTAGGCTGTGGTGTCATAATTCAAAAGGCTATTTTCATTAGGTGTTTGCTGACATAAAGTTCCCTTTATGGAGCACTACTTACGTATTCACCTAGAATCAGGGTAATTTGTTCAAATGTTTTTTAGTCTGTCTTTGTATGCAGGATTTTACTACACTGTTGTCTTACTAACATTGTCTTCTATATCGGAATAAGATGAAACAAAATTATATTTGGAATGTTTTTCTTAATTTGTGCTATATATTTTAAAATAATGTATACATTTTTCCATACATAATGACATGCTATATAGAATTGGTGTGGTATGGCTAATTCATTAGTCATGGGATCACTATGTGTTACATACATAAATAACAAAAACTACATGTTTATTTAAGAAAGCACTTAAGAACAGGACTTTTCAACCTATTTTCTAAATAGAATACAGATTAGGTTAGAGTGGGAAGCTGCACAGTTCACTCATCAGAAGAAGGCCTCACTGTTGAAAAGTTGTATCTTGTGCTTTGCAGATCTTGTTGCTTTACAGATCGTTTCTCAAACATTTTTTTTTTCTCTGGAGTGCCAGTCATGATTAAAACACAACTAGGGAGATTAATTTAAATTTGAGGCTGCACTTGCATTTTCCCCATCGAACTTAGAGCACTGAAGATGTTAATGCATTGAAGAACCGCTGGTGGTAAACAGCCGAAAACTTGAATGTGCACACCTGAGAATATCATTTGTAGTATGTATGTTAACAACTGTATGTTTTCCATTCAGTTTCTGAATTTATCCTGATGTGTTCTTGCTTTTCCTCAATTTCTTTGCCCAGAAATAAGGTGACCTTTAAAATCACATTTTATTATATACTCACCTGATTTAGAATCACAAATTGATTTAAGGTTCGACTCCTCAATGACTCCTCTACTTTCTCGGGTCTCGGCTATGATATACTGTATAACATACAGTAGACACACACATTCAGGGCTAATCATCATTTCACATGAACCCAGCTTCAACCTACCTGACAAGACAGTTAGCACTAAAGGGAAGAGCATTGCATCTTTTACTTTTGTCACTCTAACCCCAGCAAGATAGTGGAATGGCTCTGATAGAGCCTTGGCCGCTGACCAGGACATTTTTCAACACCACTGGATTTTAAAATGAGGACATACTATAAATTGAAAAAATGTAATTTCCAAAATGCCTGTGTGCAACACAAGCATCTGTTCACAGCAAAATCAGACTTGAAGCTTTTGGACAAACCAGTAACATTGCTCAGCTGTTTACACAGTCTAATTCTTGGCAGAAACAGTACTCTGCATGGATATTAATTAACATATTTTATCTCAGCAATACAATACACATTTAACCTTTGCAGTCTTCCAATTTTTGATTTTTTAAAATCCTCTCCTGGGTCAAAGTGTCTAAGTGAACACAACATGATATTGTTACCCTCCGCAAGGAAAACTGGTGATTTTTGGACCACAGAGCTCAGCCTGCACTCAGATCCAGGGCCTTCGCTAATTGAGCCACTGGGGAATCAATTTCAGTTTTCAAAGGTCTGAAATTCAAAACTTGTTGTCTTTTTCTTTGAAATGGTAAATTACCTTTTCAAATTTAACAAGCAGCATAGTAACATCACTTTGTAGAGGGTATGGATACAGACTGGGGAATCTCAAACAATTTCACAAAACGGGAATCATACAGTATATAGGAAATCCCTCTGCTTCTGTTTTGTTTTTGCTGTTTCTTGGTCACACTAGTATACATCTTATAATGCCATTGACCCAGCCTTGAAATACAAGATGGGAAAGAACACTGTAGACATTAACTTTAAGCAAAAAAATGTTGTCATCAAAACTGATCAGATACTTGAGAAACAGACACTATTGATCATGATTTTAAAAATGCATCGTTACCACCTTGTAGCCTCATCGGAGCTCAGAAGCTAAGCAATGCTGTGCTGAGGCTGGACAGATGGACAGTGCTGACAGTAAAACGTGGGTCCCACTGGTGTTACTGGTCAGTGGCAATCACTTCTGAAGCAGTGCCCATATTATGATGACAGGCAACACTTTACTGGAGGAGATGCTATCCTTCAGCTGAGATGTTAATCTGAGCTCTTGGCTATTGGTTATTGAAGATCCTATGGTCTTGTTAGTAAGAGTAGTTGTATCAACAGCAGCGTCCTTAGTTAAACTGTACTGCACAATCTGGTCTCTCTAAATGTCCTTTGTATTTCAACTGTTAAAGCACTTTCTGTCTTCACCAGCTGATCTGCTGTGTAGTGGAACTGCTGACACATAATAGTTGGTGTGTTTTACCCAGGTGGTTGCAACATTGCAGTGGTGAACAAAGTGAGTCCTCTCCTATGTGTGAAGTACTTTATGAATCTTTGGGATGAAAAATTATATAAATGTAATGAATTATTAGCAACAGATCTACCAACAGGCAGGAAACATCTTTGAATTATGATCAGTTACATGCAATAATGACAGAATGACACGATTCCTGTATTTGAAAAGAGTCACATCAGGCGTCATTTTCACAAAGGAAAAATTTACGGCTTCAGATACAGTAAGTTGGGCATCATGACATACAGTACAGTAGGTGTTGTTGATGATGCAGTATACTACTACACTGCAATATAATAATCAGACTTTGAAACCTGGATTCTACCTATTGTTACAACAAAACCAATTTTAACATAATACCTTAACAATACAAGAATGCTAGAGTCACCCAAGATATTTTGCTTCATGCTGGTTCCAAAATAGTTCATTAACCTGCTGTTTCACCAGATCATGAGAAAACTAGCCACTTGTGGTGCAATAAATGTTTGTCAGTATCACTTGGGCATAGATTACTTATACAGAGGTACCTGTTATAAATACACTGTGGTGACCTTATCCTTTTCTTTGCTAGAAATGTGTTGAAAGTGATATCACAATCACAATTTATACAAGAAACATTATATTGTCCTTTGTTTTGCTGCAAATATATGGCTGTATTTAAGGGCTTCAGAATGCATATTTTGCAAAATCCTATAAAAATATTCTCATAAATGCAAAGAAAAATGGATCTGAAAGTATTATTGTAAACATACCACAACTAAATAACACATGGTATTAGGTTCTTACTGAGAGGATGAATAAATCACCCTGTAACCTTACACTTTCAAGTACTCTAACATGACGTGCCACTGACCTTTTACCATGAAGCTCTGGGCAACACGCCACAGCAAGGAGTTCCACAAAATAAATAACAAACCGACAACTGATATTTACACATCTTTTCTTCCTTTTAGGATCATACACATTTATAGAAATGTTTGCATAGAAAAGTGATTTTTGAATTGTTTTGTGCATCAAGTCCGGTGAAAGGTTTTACTCCCATGTGCGGAAAAAAAAAACCTTTGTCAGACACTTTTTTTAATAAGATTTTTTTATTTATTTCCAGTTTCTCTTTGAAAATTGCTAGATAAACTATGCAATTAAAACCGGGTGTAGGACTTAACCATCCCAATTGTTTCGAAAACACCAGTCTAGCTGAAGAAATTCGTTTTTACGTTGATTATAAGAAGGGCTGGTAGTATCATAACCCCGCAGGACGATTTGAAGAGGAATGTTAATAATGCTAATGCAGTAGTTGTAAAGCAGCTCTATATGACATTCAGACAGTGCACATGTCCCACATGGTTGGCAATTTTCACACCACTAGCACTGGCATTTTTCACATTAGTCAACATAAGCACTACAAATGCTACCTTGGAACTAACTACAGAAACAGTGTAGAATGGCCTTCATAAGGCTTGACTTTAGTTAGTTTAGTACAGAAAACATTTTGTAAAATTTAATTGCTATGCCATTTTAAATATTGCAATGAGTGTATTTTTATTGCAAAAAAGCATTTTTTTTTATCATCACCCTTTTCAGTCCAATTAACACACTTCAAAACACGGTGCTGCGCCAGAAGTTTTTAAATTCCAAATTTCTATATCATGTCATTAGCATTTGCTTTCCCTGTAACTGGTGTGTCAGGCATGGCAGGATGTAGCAGCTGTATCACTCCCACTGAGGAGGTGTCAGCAACAGTCGTACTTCCACCTCAAACATGCTGGACATTTGAGCATACAGTCAACGGCACTGGTCTTGGGTGCAGTATGTTGGCACTAGCCTACTTTAGCTAATTCTACACTCGAAGTATGGCTCAGTTAGTGCAGAACTTTTTATAAGAGTATGTAATGGAGCAGATTCAGCCCACATTCTGTATTAGTCTTGATAGACAATGGCATTTTCCTGTACAGAAATCTCCACATCTGTGGTACAGTATCTGTGTTAAATATGTTGTTCCTCTTTAATGAATTGTCTTGATCGCTGCTCCATTGTGATCATGTCTGTAAGCAAAAAAGGCTTGTGCTCTTCTAGTAGTTTGTAACTATATTGTATCAGTTCTTTGTTTTTCTTTTAATGACACACACTGAAAAATGTACATGAATAACTTTCCCTTAATCGCAATGAATCCCAAAGAGCTTTGACCACAGCAGGACGCTCACTGCATTCACCACTGAAACCCACCTGGGTGACGTTCATCAGCCATAACGCGCCAACAGCCCATGTACCTAACAGGCAGAAAAGTGAGAAAGTGCTTCACCAATCCTGAAATAAGGTGAAAGTTCAGATAGGCAAGATTGTGCCAGAGTAGAATTTAGCCAGGATACCATGATTATCAACCCTGATCCTACAAACAATTCTAAGTCATCTTTAATGGCTAAGTAGTCAGGACATTGATTTAACAATTCATCTGAGGACTGGCACCTCCTACAGCAACAAGTGCCCTGTTGCCATACTGGCATGCCGATAGAACCACCCACCTGTAATAAACAGTACGACAAATAGTATTTATTTAGTATTTTCTAGGTGTAGAAGTTCTTTGTACTACAGTATCTTAACATAATTCAGCATACTGGAGACTAAAAATGTCTTTCCCATTGACAGAAAGCAATGAAGGCAAACTAGTGATAGAAAAAATATGAGACCAATCTTAATTTGTGAACAATAGGTTTATTTTTTCCACTCGTCTTTGTGTAAAATATTCTGAAAACTGTACAAACTAAAATTATAAATCTATAAACAGAGGAGGGCACCAAAGAGAGTACATTTATCACAATTTTTACATCTCATCCCTAACTGTCTGATACTTCACAATTTAATTCTTCATCTGTAATGTAATCCGTAAAATCAGGAAGAACAGAAGTGGTTTTTACAGTTTGTCCACAATCACATCAATGAAAAAACGTATTCCATGACTTGTGCTGCGCAAGATAACTCAAGAAACTTATTTGTTCGTTATATATTGTTTATATGGAGTCACTTCTATGTAATGCCTTCATAAACTAGCGAAACAGAACAAAAAGGTACAAACTAAAAATAACTTTCAGCATGTATCCCATTAAACCCGTTTTGCTCAGGATGACATATTCATTCAGACATCTATGAAAACATTACCTAAAAGGCAATTAATTGAAGTTTCTGCATTTGACTCACAGATGTGTACAGCACACTTTGCATTTGTATATTATAATTTCCTTTATATGAAAGAATCAGTATTTTAAACTACAAACATATGCGGCACATGTAGTCATGCTAAAATTGGGAACAGACCTGTCATGTCCTATATGAGCAAGCAGTCCAAAACACAAAAACTAAGAATTTTTCTACTCACCCAATTTACAGGGAAACACAACTAAGAAAGGAAGGTTTCTGCAGAATGCACCTCAGGAAGGTGGCATGTGGGAAAAGGAATTTTCATTTCAGCATTGTTATGGACCTAAACACATAGCCAGACAACTCAAACCAGTGGTAGATGAATAAAGGATTTTGGACGTTGCTGGAATAAGCTTAAAAAAAAGGATAAGAAACCAGCGCAAATTGCTCTTGGGCAGATTTAAGACTGAATGCACAGAACATAATGGTATTACTCTGCTAAAGCTTAATAATCAGAATGCTTGCCATGTACTCTACATCCATAATTGCTCAAAAGGGGTGGATATGCTAATAAGAAATATTTTAATTAAACTGCTAGCAAAAGATGTCCTCTTTTGCATTTCCTTTTCAGAGGGTTGCCTAGACTTCACTTTAATGTTGACATTAAGATAAATGGTCTATGCTCTGTAATTTCTAAAGGACAGTCAAAGGTTATTTAAAGTGCTGTTTCTGCTAATGATCTGAATCTCCTTTATGATGTAACAATGGAAATATGAGCTAAGAAATCTGTATTCCCATTGCAGTAGTTTAGCTTCAGTTCATTCAATGCATTTCATGTCAGCAAGTCCATATTTTAGGAGCCCTCAGTGGCGGAAGAACCCGACAAATAATGTTCCTCCTCTTCCAGCACACTCCTGTCCGTCTGAAGCATCAGGTAGTTAAGTCCTTCACTGTTGTAAACCTGGGTTAATCCCTCTAAGATACTACCATCTTCATCCTCTTTACAAAAAGCTTCATCAGAGTCTGTATGAGAACAGGAAGAGAAGATTTAGGTGAATTTTCACATGAAAACAAGAAGGTTCTATAACCTGGGAGCTGCGTAATCCATAAAAAACAGAATCCTTACAACAATGAAAAGTCTTTTTCTGTCCTCAAACAGAAGTATTTCTACTTGTTGATTGCACAAGAAATCAGGAGTGATGTAAGGAGACAAAAAAACAAATGTTTTTTTTTATGTCATGTATTTTTGTTTGCTTGTCTTTAAGAAGGGGGTTGTTAATCAGACCATAATTTGTCACGGTGGCATACCAGAGAGCTGAATTTTTTATATTATACTTATATGTACTTATAGTACTCTTTCGCTGGATGAATGAAAAATAAATTATGTCATGCTCAGTGACTGCTCACAGTATGTTTTGAACTTTACTGTGTACTTTGTTTAAAGTTTTAAAAGTTGGATGTTTTATCAAACTTATGATCTCCATCATTTTCAGGTATTTATCAGTTAGACATTTTTCATATATGAATACACTGTATACAAGTGTTTGTACCACATAATCTAATGCCCAATGCACACTGTATACCTGAAGGTTACATGGATATAAACTATTCAATTAAGAGACACTTTTTAGAATTTCAGCTAAAGATCAGATGTTGTATTTTTCTTGGGGTTTTTATAAAAGACTTTCAGTACTAATGTAAAAAGTATGTACTGTAATTTTAGCAACAGAGAATACCATAAAAAACAACAAGACATTATATATACACAGAATAATATATAAGTATACTAGGCGGATAAAACAACAATATAACTTAATAAAGAATCTAAAGATTAAACTGTACAGTAAAGCAAAGGGCATTCTCATAACATGGCAAATAATATGGAAAAAATAAATCCTATCTTTTTACTTAATAAAAGTATTTTGGCACCCTTAATAGTAAAATGCACTGCCCTTTTACAACTTAGACCATTTGGTTTGTTGTAGCCAGTTCTTGGCATGTTTCCAGATATTTTGCTCATTTTCAGTGCATTCTGCAATCAGCTTTGTTTTCCTCTTTGTTATAGTAAATCACTCAAAATGTCTTGATGGAGTCCAAGCAGAAAACCAGGCAGAATACAGCATCTATTGCACTTTCTTCCACACAAATATAACCCATTTCTGAAGAACAGAAACCTGCCCTTATCTTCACACAACCTCATCCATGTTTACCACTGGACGTCTGATTTTCTTTAAAATTTTCCTTTTCTCTTCCACCAGGCATATTGTTTAAAGAAATTAATTTGTATTCTAATGGTTTATTCAAATATTCTTCTTTTAGGTGTAAATATTTTTTAAATAAGCTTTGCATCCTGCTCATCTCTATGGAATTTCTTCATGTCACATTTAACTAAATTGTACACCCATCAATCTCTCAATTGTTTTTTCTCATTTCTTATCAAATCCAAGGGTATTTCTGGCGCACTCGAACAGTTCTTACTCTTTGTTTTGCATAAAATTAAGTTTGGTTGGCTGTACATGTTTCCTGTGTTGGTTAGTCATAGCCCACACACTGCTTTTGGCACACTAAGTCCTTTATTGAGTTAAATTGCTGCCATTTTGAAATTATTGCATGTTCATTTAATTTTTAGTTACGAACCACTTCAGTTGCTTTTTTGAGTTAAAAGTTTTAGATTTAGTTTTAATTTAGTTAGATGCTTGACAGTCTTGTATTATATGTGAATAAATGTATGTATAAATTTTGCATCAATATAAAACAGACGAATCACCAGTTGCTTTTTTCATGTACTGTACAACTCAGGGACAACAATGACATGCACCAATTCTGCTCTGAGCAAAGCCTTTTGAGCAAACCCTAAAGCCCCTAGTCATATCCCTGCCAAAGCCTACCAGTGACATGACTCAGGCTTGAACCAGCAACATCGGGATCAGCCCCAGTCTGTGTTCTGACCAAGCACCTCCACTGGTTGAGCCACTTTCTACTTCCTCACAGTTCTTGGGCTCTGGGTTCGATTTCAGACTGGGGCACTTTACAAATAAGGGTTTCATGTTCACCCCTTGGTCATGTGGGTTTTCTCCGGATGCTCCTGTTTCTTCTCATCTTCCAAAGACAAGCTCGCTGGGTTAATTGCTGTTTCTGAATTGTTGCTCAGGACAACCGGACTGAGCAGCCTTCTGATAAAGGATGGATGGCTAATTAGACAGTATTAGGTGCCTTTCTACTGTATATTAACATCCATCCATCCACTTTCTAACCGCTTCTTCCATTTCAGGGTCATGGGAAGGCTGGAGCCCATGTCAGCAAGCAATGGGTGCAAGGCAGGTTACACCTTTGAGGGGATGGCAGTCAATCACAGATCACTCAGAGACACAGACACAGACACAAACACAAGCATGTACTGTACACACTCACACAAGGGCCAATTTCACAGAAGCTAATTAACCTACCAATATGTCTTTGGATTGTGGGGAGTTACATAAACATGGGGAGAACACAAAACTCCACGCAGACAGAAGCCCGGGAACTGAACGCAGGGACTCAGTGCTGTGAGGCAACAATGTCAACCACTTCACCACTGTCCCGTCCCGCCTGTCTATATTAACATCTTTGGGGGGAAAAATTCAACGTGAATTTATATATCATTATAAAGAATGAGTAATTTGTCTAAAGTTTAAATTACAAGGCATCTGGCAAACTACTTTTGATTTCCTAGATGCCCCTTATTTTACTGTACCTATCATGTACTTAATGTGGACTAGGCTTGAGGGAGAGTTTCTCTTTGCATAGCAGTGTGTACTGTTTATGTACAAAAATACACTGATACTGAAGGGAGCTGTTAGTCTTTGTTTTCAGAATGCTTTGAATAACTAAGGTGCTTTGCAACAGTTCTTATTGTAGAACAAACAAGAGCCCCGGTTATGGATGACTGACAAAAAGGCAGAGAGGAAAAAGAAGATTCTTAAAGTAATGTACCATGAAAACCAACAAAGACAGGCTGTTGACAGAAAACAGTGTGTTAAGCATATTGGGGGTGGGAAGAACGATTGATGGGTATAGAGGCTGACCTGTTAACTTTGAGCACAAAGACAATAAAAACCAGCTTCGATACATTACTGTTCTCATGCTCCTAAAAGCTTTAAAGGCTAGGCCAAGACTGGATTTCTATTTATGAAAGTAAATCAAAAACTGAAGGCATTTCATCTTGTGATTGTCTTCCTTTGCAATTCACTTTTTTACTTTCTGCGTGGCTTGTCAACTGAGGACTTAACGTCATTTTCCTTCACTGACATGTGCATCATTTCCAAAAAAAAGAAATTAGTTCTGTGAAACAAACATCAGACATTGCTACAGCTATGGCAGGCTGGTGAAGGGGCATATGTCAAAAGTGTTTTAAAACCTAAATGAACAAATTACGTTTGTCTTCAATACTGGTCTATGAATGTAACAGCCAAGACAAAAAAGAGAAAATGTGATAGCATGTGTTGCTTTTTTTGTCTTTTTTGAAAAATTATAAGAGTATAATTTCATACTGAAAGCTGCAAGATCCATGATAACATAGTGATTTATGTGTAGTTCAGTCCTTGGTAACTTCAGTATGGTAACTATAATTCAGTATGAAGTATACTTATGGCATACATTGTTGCAAGTTAAGTTATCAGACCCAACTTTTTAAATAGCTTGCAACAGTTCTGTGGTTTTAATAAGTGTCTTAAAATCAGCTACACTAAAGGCCTTGGAATAAAGGAGATTTAAGCTTTTTAAGGTTAATTTATTTAATATGAAGTTCTGACTGAACATACACCTCAAAGAAAATGTGAAAATTATTTACCTCTCTAGTTCAGCCCCACTCCCAAATATAAGGTAAACCAAGGCCCAATCACAAATTACAGGCTTAGTATTTATTGACGTTGTTGACAGTCAATAGTTTACTACAGAGTTTACAGAGTAAACTAGAAGATAGTTCAAGTAGGTAGCTGCATCAGCATGCATAGGCTACAAAGGAACAGGTAAAGGTTTATTCAATGCTGAAAAGAGATTAAAAGAAACACAATGTTTCAGCTATGGAGCCTCCTTCTTCTGTGGAGTCAACATTTTGGCTGTTCAGGTGTGTCACAGAAGACAACGTCACAGCCAAAATGTTGTGTTTCTTTTCTTTTCTTTCCAGCTTGGAATAAACCTTAACCTGTTCCTAAACTAAGTTGCAGTGGAGTGAAGTCTGATTTAGTTCCAAACAGATTTTTTGAAAGGAGATTAAGAAATTAGGAGAAGACATCCATTTCCATGCAAAATGTGGTTAAATCACATCCATTGTGCAACAGACTATCACTGACAATGCTGGCTCACAGTAGACATTTTTATAAAACGTTTCATAGTAAAAGGGCTTCGATTGTTTGGTTTGACAACCATCCATCCATTTCTTACAGCTTAATTCAATACAAGGTCATGTGACAGAGCCAATTGGCCAGAGCCAATTCTTTCAAGCAATGGATAGAATGGGAGGATGTACCCTGAATGGGACACCAGTCCATTGCAGGGCCAGTTTTCTCAGAAGCCAATTGACCTACAAGTATGTTTTTGGACTGTGGCAGCAAACAAGAGCACCTACCACCATGTGTACCATTATGCCACCCCACTTTCCTACATTAACATTTATGAGGGAAAAAAATCAATATGACTGCACCACTGTGCCAACCACTTTTTAAAAAGTTTTAAAATTGGAATGCTGTAATTATATACAACAGAGAAAAATGTCCTGTTTTGAAGGTGATATCTGAATTTGTATTTTCAATATTTTACTGGAAATAGTTTTGAATTAAACAATTGTGAAGACAAACTGCTACATACAAAAGACAAATTTTATGTTTTCATTCTGTCAACCAACCACTGCTCGCTTAAAAATTAAGAGAGGTACTAAAAGATCAAAGGCTCAAAGCAGAGAAAGCATTAATAAGAAAGAAAATTCCAGAATGCCCTTCAGAAGAACAGAATACAGATTGCTTCCCAGTACATGGCTGGCACTCACCTTGGAAGGCGTGATTTATGGCTCCAGCAGTGCTGTCAGGACTGTAATGGCAGTTCAGTGGAGATTCCCTCAGCTGTTCCAGACAGTCCTGGACATAATGAAAGCTTGGCCTCTTACTGGGTTCTTTGTGCCAGCATTTCAACATCAAGTCATATCTGCCAAAATAAATCGTTTCCATAAATTGCAGCCTTGTTTGTCAATTTATTTTTATTTTTTAGTCAGCAAAATGTAACGTGGCATAAACTGAGTCTAAACTATAGCCAAGTTCTTCAGGCTGTATTAGGATGTTAATGTAAAACCAGCATTTCCTGATTATAAAAATCTTCTTTCAGTCTCAGGAAATGCAGACAATGGTACAGGGTTTCTAATGTTTCCATCTGAACATGGAGCTCTGTTTGTAAATGGAGCGTACTTGTTAGCTCACACTCTTAAAAGAAATGCTGCTATGTCTTCATCAGGTAAAAGCTCACTGAGCTGCTCTGTCTCTGATCTTCTCTTTGACAGGCTTCATGCAAAGCATTGTGCTGCATGTTTTTGATGTTTGCTAAACCAAAATGCACAAAAATCATTTCAATCCAGGCGAGATCTGTAGCAAAGCAACTATAAGACTAGGACAGCTAACAGACATGCAGACATAGACTCCCATGCTTTTTGAACATTTTGCTGCAAGTCACCAGAAGTTAAGATTCTCAAATGAAAGGAGGTTAATTAGCCTTACTTGTGTCTAACACTAGGATTATTATACATCCATTGTGGAATGTGGAATTCATTGTGGAACAATCATCTCAATTGTACATTCCCAAAAACAATGCATGCATAAATGTTCAACAAATAAAAAATATATTAGCAAAGATATATTGCAATGATGTTTTGTAATGTACTTCAACAACAGTGTGTGATTGACAGCTCTTACTGCTTGTGTGTTATGTGTTTGTACAGTTCTTAATTTGATTTTTGCAAAGCAATTAGGTCTGAAACGAAGCGCGAAACACCCAGTTCAATTTCAAAAAGTGGTGAAGGCTAAGCTCTCTCTTGAGCCTTTGCAATGACCTGCTGTGAGGTTGCTGGTCACCCCAGTCTGAGATGACTCAGCCCCCTCCTTCTCATTTTTCACTCTGGACTGTGTTACTTTCTTGATAGGTCTGTGTTAATAACGATGCATTTTCTAAATCTGAAAAAAATGTATCATTCTCAAAACATCTTCAAAGAAAATGACAAATGTTCTATATGATAGGGACATTCAAATTTCATGTATTTGAAGCCAAACTTCAAAGGAACAAATGCGGGTTACATTAGCACAGCAGTAAATACTGTGGAAGTTCTGAAAAAAAAAATAGAAAACATACAAAACACAAGTAGAAAATAAAATAGATTCCCTACAATACAGTATGCCTACAAAATTATTTAAATACACCATTTAGGAGAAGCAATTATAAAGTACAAACGTTTACTGACTACTGTTTAACACATTAGGGTAAAAATAACTTTCGAGTTTTGATTCTTCTGTTGAAAAGGAATGTGAGAATGCCAGCAGTGAAGCACCAGGACAGTCACAATAGCAGGATTAAGTGTCAGCTATTTTAAATGTCAAACTTGCCACACATTCAAAGTCAGATTACTCCTTCTTTTTGTTGTAAGACCCTGGATCAGCACTAAAACTAGTAAATAAACAGAATCTTACCTGGCAAGTAAACTGATATTCTAACACTTCCTGCCTATGGGATACCTAAGAGCTGAGATTCGGCTGCTCTGGCCATTAAGGCCTGGCCCCAGGGCTTGTGGAGTGCACAGCCCTGTGGAGGGCTCTCAGTGGAGACCTAATGAAGCAGAAAAGCATTTACTGCCTGAAAAGCACAGTCAAAGAAAAAAAAAGGAAACAGTGGAAAGGAAGAAAGAGAAGGGATGAGAAGGGTCTGATTTGTGAGGTGTGAAGCTAAGGTGTGCTGAGTGCCCTTAGCGGGGATGAGTTCTCCATCTCTTAAGCAAAGAGTTGAAAGTGACAGGTGATATTCACTAACAAGAAAAAAGGGCAATATCTTATTGTTGGGCAACATCTCAGGGGCTCAACCACACCTGCTGAAATAACTTAAAACAAAACACCGCCTGTGGTATCACTCCACAGGCTGATCTGAGATCAACTGAGTTTGGGCAGGCAGAAGAGAAATAATGCCCAAAAGACAGACACTACCATTTGCACACTGGCTTATAAGTAAAACCTGTAACAGAATCCAACAACTGCACTCGAGCAATCCTCATCTGCCAGGGAGGGACTTCAGGCAGACTACATTATTCCGTCTTTTACTCATATTGCTCTTTTGAATAGGGCCATGGAATCTTTCATGATCAAGCAGTCAGTATCTCGATTTAATGTGTCTTTCTAAAGATGGCACCTCCTACACCGCAGTGTTCCCAGTCACCACACTGGGTTTGCAAATTACTGTCCAGCAGGAAGAATGACACTTACTGATCCACCTACAGTACCACTTACAGAAGACATCTATGGTTTGAGATATCAGAACCAAACCTTTACTGACATTTGCAATGTACTCCAATGTATGTAATGTGGGTGTACAGTTGTTAATTCACTTTTTCAAAGCAATTAAGTGTGAATCAAATAAGGGAAAATACTGAGTTCAGTTTCAAAAAATGGTTAAGGTGAGGACCAGAGTTTGCTCTCTCTCTGAGCCTTTTTGATTATCTGGTGTGAGATTGTTTGAAAAGGTGTGAGGTCTTTGATATCAGGTTCCAAAGTGGTAATCTGTAGTTATTCATAAATAAGCAGGGTTGGTACGCTTCAACAGACAACCTCAGCAGACGAGCAGCGAATATGGGGTGTCCCTGTCAATCCACCATTTGAAAGTTTACAGCAGGTTTGTAAAACACATCTCCAGTGGATTAAAGACTAGTTTGCTAAATAAGATGTATAAACTCTCAATTTTATTTGCTCTATCTGAAACTGCTGCTTAACTGTACATTTTGGAAAGTGTTATCACAAAAATTAAACTCAGTCAAAACATACAATGCAAATTGCAAATCAAAAATGCTTCTAAGAACCTAGAAGGTTGCAATTGAACTCTAGCAGTTTTGCAGTTCCTATCCTGTATGTACTCTTTACAGGAACCTGATATACCCACACTTTCTGGACGGGTCACTACATTATATCCTGACTTACAATATGAAGAGTAAAAAAAATATGCCATCTAATTTAATGCCTCCTTCTATATTCTTCTGGATGACATGCTGAGAACCGGAATGTTTCAGTTGCAGCTTAAAACAAGTTAACACACAGCTTTTCACCTCAGGAAATTCAAAACAAGCTCTACAGATAGAGATCTTGAACCATTAGAAAAACATTAGAAAAACTAATTGCATTAAAAATAAATACTCATCAAGATCAATAACATAATGATAGTCATTAAAAGAGACATCAAAAGATTAATGATTACAATAATGATTTGCTTTAAGCCATGTAATTTAACAACCACTAAAGTAAAATGGAAGTAGAAGTTGCAATGAGAGCCTAAATCCCCTTTAAGGTCTGTCCTTTGAAAGTTGTAATCAAAATTACTAATATGCTTCAATTTGAACAGATTTTTTTAAATGGTAGCCAAAGATCTGTACCCAACTTTTTAGAGGTTGTACAGAATATCATGAAACAGCTATTAAATGGCTATATACCCTGACCTACTGTAAATCAGGTATGAACTCTGAAGGTACTCAGATTGTGATAAATTATTGCTGCCTTCTCTCACTCCCAGGTTAACATTTAACTACCATGTACTGTATTTCCCCAACACTACATGTAGCTTTCTTCTTGGCATCAACTTAGCAATAAACACCAAACATTGCAGTTTGCTCAACAATTTTACATTTTAAATGATGTCCATTAAAATAGAAGCATGCACTATTCCTCTCTGCATTATCCATATCTTTACTTGAACCAATTTAGCGTTTTATTCACAAAACTATATTTTGAAGAAAACGCATGAAACATATTACTGTCAAGTACAGCATAGAAGACCTTTTTGCATTTTGTAAAACAATGATGTGAACAATCCATTCTTCAAAGAGTTTTACAATCATCAGTTTTTAAAACCACCTTTCAGTAACTTGTTTAATTACTTTAATGGACTGTATTTAATATATGTTTTTTTATATAATCAAAATTGTAGCAACTATAATTGTAGCTACTACTTAACTGTTGCTACAGTATACTGTATACTGGACAGCAACAACTGTATCCTGTTGTGTGAGAAAGGAAGAAGCATGGATCTTCATTAAAAAAACGATGATCATTAATCAATAAGAATGCTGAGTGAACTGTATTAAAGTGTAAAGTTAAATGTTACTGTATATCTGCCAAATCAAAGAGACCTGTAACTTTTTTTAATTTTGTGTTGTTGTGGCATGAAAATGTTTTATCAAGTGATTAAAATAGTTTTTGTGCATTTTAAAGTGGATATTACCAATGCATTATTTTCAGAAGTTTCTGTGAATTAGCAAACAGTGCCCCCTAGTAACCACATCATTTTCATTATTAGTATTATAATCGCACAATAATCATTATGAATATACAGTACAGTACATACATCACATGAAATTAAAACGAAATCTGCTTTTCACAGTTGAAAGGCTAAATTTGAAATGAAAATTGCTCTTCTTGTCTTATGACAATCTCCCCTCACCCTGCAGAAGTTTATTTTGACCTGCTTCTGAGTTGTCAATGTATTATTCCATATCTGTCCATGAGCAGATCTTCAAGACACATTTTTGGGTGAGGAATTTCACCAGGTCTACTTGGGTTTCCAGTATTTTTTACAGCATTAACCCTTAACCATTGTTTCTAATTGTGCTAACTTGTAAATCTGTTTTTCTCTTCTTATTGTAAAGTGCTTTAAGAAGCGACTTTTAAAGGTGCAGTATAAAATAAAGTTGTTTTTTTTATTATTGCTGTAACTTTTTACGTGATGAAATTGCAGAAAATGGTGAATTTAAATTTTTGATGGAAAGTTTTTAAATGTATCTTTAATCAATCCTTGATATATCTACGTAATTTATAAGATTCTGAGTTACTTAATCATTTCTTTAGTGATTGTGGGATCTACTGTATATATTACATTAAGTCAATATTTGTCTTGCAATGCTCCCTGCTTCT